TTTGATGGGAATTGCATTTAAATCTGTAGATTGCTTTAGATAGTATGGACATTTTAACATATTTTTCTTCCAATCCATGAGCATCGAATGTCTTTACATTTCTTTGTGCCATCTTCAATTTCTTTCATCAGTGTTTATAAGTTTTCAGAGTATAGGTCTTTTTCACCCCTTTGGTCAGATTTATTCCTAGATATTTTATTATTTGTGGTGCAATTGTGAATGGGATTGTTTTATTTGCTCTTTCTGCTGCTTCATTATTAGTGTATAGAAATACAATAGATACCTGCACATTGATTTTGCATCCTGCAACTTCACTGAAGGCATTTATCAGTTCTAAGAGATTTCTTTTTTAAGATTTTATTTTTAAATTGTCTCTAGACCCAACATGGGGCCCAAACTTTCAACCCCAGTATCAAGAGTCACATACTCCACTGACTGAAGCACTCCTATTGGTTCTAATAGTTTTTTGGTGGATCTTATATTAGGGGCTAATACATAAGTTTAAAAGTAATTCCAATAAAATCACAACAAAACTTTTTTTTAATCTAGTAAGTGGATTCTGAAGTCTATACAGGAAAACAAGCAAGGTCAGAAATATGAAATGGGGGAGAAGACTAGTCCTTTTAGATAACCAAAAGCTAAAATAAATATAAGAGTGAGGTACTGGAACTTAAAGATTAATAAAAATAAATTGGCAAATAAGAAATATACATAAACAGGGCGCCCGGGTGGCTCAGTTGGTTAAGCGTCTGCCTTCAGCTCAGGTCATGATCCCGGATTCCTGGGATGAGCCCCGTGTCGGCTCAGTGTAGTCTGCTTCTCCCTCCCCATGCCCCCCTCCCCACTGCTCCTGAGCTTGCATGCTCTCTCTCTCCCTCCCTCTCAAATGAATAAAATCTTGAGAAAAAAAAGGAATATACACATATACATATACAAATTTAATGTATGATCTAGATTAAGAATTTGGAAACTTTTTCAAAAACTAATGATGTAATGTATGGTGATTAACATAACAATAAAAATTTTTGAAAAAAAGAATTTGGGAACTTTTTCTTAAAGGGGCAGACAGTAAGGATTTTAGGCTTAGAGACTATATGGGTACTGTCATAACTAACCAACTCTGACATTTTAGTGCAAAAGAAGCCACAGGCAATATATAAGTGGATGAACACAGGTGTGTTTCAATATCTTTGTTTACAAAAAGAGCAGATCAGTGGACCACTGTTTGCTGACCTGATATAGATATAAATGCAAATCAGTGCAGAAGATAAATTATTCAACAAATAATATAAACCATATACCTGTCAGGTAAAATAAAGTCGGACCTGTACCTCATATGGTACATCAGGATAAATTCCAAATGGGTAAGATTCATGAGACCTTATTCATTCCACGTCTTTAGGTATCGGTACATGATAGTACTCTGTAAATCAACTTCTTACAGTTAGCTAATCATCTACTCAAACCTGAGGCCAAGCCCATCCATACGTGGCACTCGTTACCTATTTGTGGAATGAATAAATTATCTTTTTAAAGCTTACAATGTACAACACCATAATCTTTCCTAAATCATTAAAAATATTCATGGAAACAAGTAAAGGTCATCAAAGAATACTGGATATCTAGCAGCCTCAAGAACTACTAATTAGGGGCGCCTGGGTGGTTCAGATGGTTGGGCGTCTGCCTTTGGCTCGGGTCATGATCCCCGGGTCCTGGGATCGAGTCCCACATCGGGCTCCCTGCCCCTTGGGAAGCCTGCTTCTCTCTTTGCCTCTCTCTCTCTGTCTCTCATGAATAAATAAAATCTTTAAAAAAAACTACTAAGTTGTAAGAGAAAATCAAATGGAAATCCAAGTTCTTCAAGTATAATAAACATTGTACAAGACAGAAAGCAAGAAACAGAAAATGGAGATGCCACATAAGTCTAAAATTTTCTATTTTTTCTTTTTTTTTTAAGATTTTATTTATTAATTTGAGAGAGAGAGCGCGCACATGAGAGGGGGGAGAGTCAGAGGGAGAAGCAGACTCACTGCTGAGCAGGGAGCCCGATGTGGGACTCGATCCAGGGACTCCAGGATCATGACCTGAGCTGAAGGCAGTCGCTTAACCAACTGAGCCACCCAGGCATCCCTATAATTTTCTATTTTCAATAAATTCCTTTATTTTCACACTTCAAAGAGTCTTATTCACAAAATAATACAAATGAGACCAATAAAACATTATTGGGCAATCTCCTGCCTAACCTGAAGGATCAGTGGAGCTAAAACCCACACAGACTATGCAAAAATAGTAATTCATTTGGCATTCAATTTATCATTAGAATTAGAAAAGAGTATTTTTTTAAAAAGATTTTTTTATTTATTTGAGAGAGCGGGTGCATGTGCACACAAGCAGGGGGGAGGGGTAGAGGGAGGAACAGGCTCCCCACGGGGTAAAAAGCCTGACACAAGGCTCAATCCCAGGACCCTGAGATCATGAGCCGAGCCAAAGGCAGCTGCCCAACTGACTAAGCCACCCGGGCACCCTAGAAAAGAGTAAGTATTAAGAGATTCTACCTACAGTGGGTGTGTTTACATTCCTTCCCAAATTCAGTAAAGCTATAATTAGATTTTAAGGGGAAAGCCATTTTCAGATTATCCAGTTGTATACAGGGTTCATCCCATTCTCATGTATGTATGTACACAGAAACTATGATTCAAGATGGGCACGCAACACTTGGTTCTTGTTTTCTGGATTTCTGACATTAAAAAAGGGGAGCAAACTTAGAACAAAAATATATTTTCAGTGGAAATAAACATTTCCAGTTAGACTAAAATCAATGGTAAATTCTATTTTAATAAAGTTTTCAAGTAAATTACCTTCCAGGATTAAATCTTCCTTCACTAAGAGAAAACCAGTAGTTTGAGATTTACATTTATAAATGCAAATATAAATCCACCAAGTTTTTAAATATCACAAGGTATATTCATACAATGGAATACTAAACAGCACTGAAAACGAATAGAGCTATGTGAATCCACACGAATGATTCTCATAAACATAAATATACAAATCAAACTGCAGAATTCACACAGTATATATCATTTAAATATAATTCTTTTAAAGATTTTATCTATATATTTGCGAGAGAGCACACAAGTGGGGAGGGGTTGCATAAGGTGAGGGAGAAGCAGGATCCCCATGGAGCAGGAAGCCTGACACGGGGGCTCAATCCCAAGACCCCGGGATATAACCTGAGCCAAAGGCAGACACTTAACTGAGCCACCCAGTGCCCCAGTTTTTAAATATGTTAAACAATATGACATATTGTTGGAGGGTATATAAATATGCTTTATAAGTCTAAGAGGGACGCCTGGGTGGCTCAGTTGGTTAAGCACTCAACTCTTGATTTTGGCTCAGGTCATGATCTCAGGGTCTTGAGATCGAGCCCCGCAACAGGCTCTGGGCTGGGCATGGAGCCTGCTTAAGGTTCCCTCTCTCCCTCAGCCTCAGCCCCGCCCCCGCCCCTCGTACACGTGTATGCATACACACTTTCTCTCTCTCCCTCGCTCTCTCTCAGAAACGAAAAGTCTGAGAAATATATGGTGAGGGGAACCTGGGTGGCTCAGTGGGTTAAGTGTCTGCCTTCAGCTCAGAACATGATCCCAGGGTCCTGGGATCGAGCCTTGCGTCAGGTTCCCTGCTCAGTGGGGAGCCTGCTTCTCCTTCTCCCTCTGCCATCCCCCCCATTTGTGCTCTCTGTCAAATAAATAAATAAAATCCTTAAAAAAGGAAAGAAAAATATATGGGGAAAATAAATGCCAAACTGAGGTAATACTTATTTCAGGGAAGGGAGTGAGCTAATTGGGTGGGTGTACAACTGTACTAACAATGATCCACTTCTCATGGATGGTACATGCTGGATGGTTCTTGAGTATTTGTTGTCTTATTCTTTACATCTTTTTGTATATCTGAAATTACTTTCTTTTTTAACTTTAAAAGCTACCACAGAGAACCCAAAGAAGAAATGGTCAAAAGATCTAAATATACATTTCCCCAAAGAAGATACAGAAATGGCCAATTAGCATATGAAAAGATGCTCAACATGAAATGCAAACCAAAACTATTATAAGATGCCACTTTACACCCACAAGAATGGCTATAATCAAAAAGATAGTAACAAGTGTTGGTGAGGATATAAAGAAATTGTAACTCTCAAACACTATTCATGGGAATGTAAAATGGTACAATTGCTTTGGAAAACAGTTTGGCACTTCCTCAGAATGTTAAATATAGAGTCACCATATGACCCATCAATTCCATCCACACCTAGGTGCAGAGAAATGTCCACACAAAAACTATACAAATGTTCACAGCAGCATTATTCATAACAGCAAAAAGTGGAAACAACCCAAAAGTCCATCAACTGATGATAAACAAAATGTGGCATATCCATAAAACAGACTATTCATCCATAAAAAGGAATGAATACTGCTTCATTCTACAACATGGATGAACTTTAACAAAATTTATACAAAACAAAAGAAGCTAGACACAAAGGGCTTATAATATAATCATATCACATGATTACATTTCTATGAAATGTTGAGAACAGGTAAATCCATACAGAAGAAAACAGATCAGTGATTGCTAGGGGATGAAAGAGAAGGGGAATGAAGAGTGACTACTAACTGGAGCAGGGTTTCTTTTGGGGTAATGAGCATGTTCTGGAATTAGATACTGGTTATGGTACAGCTACAAAGGTAATAGAAACCACTGAATTGTACACTTTGAGAGGGTGAATTTTATGGTATATGAATTATATTTCAACTTTTTTAAAAAGCCACCACACCTCCAAAAAGCCATATTCGTGAGATAAGGACACATTTGCAAAATGAAGCCCTTAGGGACCCAAAGAATCCAAATTTAGTTAATAATGCTATATGCACATTTACAATATTCTGCAGAAACAACTCCGAAGTGACCCTGAGAATAGTTTAACCTTTTTTAACTTAATTTACCTGTGTACATGAGAGAGGAGAGTGGATACCGCAAGCCAAGAGCATCTTCCGTAAAGGAATCAACAAAGTCCTCCAGCATATGAAGCCCAAAATCTTTGCCTCGGTATTTCTTTCTTACAAACATTGTATCAAGAACTGGCAGTTGGTAGCTTTGGGTAAGAAATGAGGCACATATGCTTCCTGCAGTCATAAAAGAAACCCAACAATTTTTCACATTAAAAGGCCATATATGTGTATATGTTGTTTAAAGAACATGAGTTAACAGTCTTTCTAAAAATGGTTAGTTTTCCTACATCAAGAGTGTTAAAGAAATTTGTCAATTTCATAATATAAGATGCTTCCCAGCTGCTATTACACATCACAATGTATACATGTGATAATGAGAAGAGCTATGTATTTTGTCAGCAGTATCATCTAATACAAGTCACTATTACCATTTTTTGAAGTATATACTAGAATATGCATTGCTGTCTACAGACTTGCACAACTTTAAAACTCATCAACTACTACATTTTAAAACTGAAAGAGTATGTGATGACTGTACACAGTATACAATGCATGAAGTACCTCACTACAACTTGAGTACCTGAACATCCATCTATCCCTTTTTCTCTAGTGAGTACAGTCTACTGTTTTTATCTACTCCATCCATGATGGCAAAGAAATCAGTTTTCCAGATTTTTAAGGACTATGGATTAGGACTAAATGGAAACATTTGTCTTAGAAATGGCTAAGTCAGCAATCTTTTTGCTGTAAATGTGTTTTTTTAAATATCCTGTATGCTTACGGTTAAACAAGAGAAATAACTGATAGTAACTAAATATGCCTCTTCTATTAAACAGCTAGGGTGATCTGTCTTTTTAAGAGCCCTGATTTGTGTTCTGACCCTCCAATTAGATATGTTTGCTCCTTTAACACATTTTAAGACAATATATAAGTTGTGGGCATCACGGCGGGGCATCCAACTGTCACAACATTAATTTTAGAAATAGTTCACAGTTATCAGTCAATATTCTACTCGTTTTGTGCCTCAAATAAAAAAATCTATTGTCTCAGTCAGATTATTCATATGATTTCAGATAATTCCAGTAATGCAGTTCAAGGAAGACATAAAATTTCAGGTAACAAACATCTCACAAACTGACTTGTACCAATCATATTATTTGATGAATTGGTCAATGTAACAAGATCTTTTTTAGTTCAATGAAATAATTTGAATTATTTATGACAAAATTGGAGAATTTCAGTAACTTTCTGTAATAGTTTCTAAGACTATCAACTAATTTAAGCTTAGAATAAGTAATTCTCATTACTTAAATCTTAACTGCTGACATTCAGCTAGGGTACTTCTATGGGTTAAAAGGTCTTTTAGAATGGCTATAGTTAAAAATGCTGTATACTTGAAATTTACTAAGAAAATACATATTCAGTGTTATCACTACAAAAAAATGGTAACTATGTACAGCAGTATCTTTTTTTTAAAGATTTTATTTATTTATTTGACAGAGAGAAACATAGCGAAAGAGGGATCACAAGCAGAGGGAGTGGGAGAGGGAGAAGCAGCCTTCCTGCCGAGCAGGGAGCCCGATGCAGGGCTCGATCCCAGGGCCCTGAGATCATGACCTGAGCCGAAGGCAGATGCTTAACAACTGAGCCACCCAGGCGCCCCTGCAGTGGTATCTTTTAATTAGCTTGATTTTGGTGAGTATTTCACAATGTATACATGTATCAAATTATCAAGTTGTACATCTTAAATATGTATTACTTTTAATTGTCAATTTTACTCAATAAAGCTGAAATATATAAACAAGTAACTCGTAAGAGTCTAACAGGTAGTCTCACCAACAAGCTACTATGACCATAATTAATTTTTAATGTCTTGAAATCAGAGTTTTTCATAACTGCTGGTAGTGATTACAAAATCACAAGAGACATTATAAGCACTAGTAGTTCAAAGGAGAAAGCAAAAAGTGAAAAGTGAAAGCACTATCTAGTTCTAATTCTCAATACAGAGTCTGAGGATTTATGGCTGTTTACTATTATACACACTTAAGGTTCCTTACAAAAGTATAGTAATTATATGAAGGAAATTATCCACAATTTGATTTTTTTCACAGCAACATTTCTTCTACTAGAGAGGAGGTAAATTAAAGCATCTTATATTGTTGAAATGGTAAACTTATGGAACTAGTAGTAATCACAAAGTTTAAAGTTCTATTCTTTATTTGCCGTGTACATATTCATTGCAAAAAATGATGGCGATTCTCTCTCTTTACTTAAAAACTTACACAGTTGACCCGTGAACAACTTGGGAGTTAGGGGCGCTGACCCCCTGAGCAGCTGAAAATCCACATATAACTTTTGACTCCCCTAAACTTAACTACTAATAGTTTACTGTTTACTGAAAGCCTTACTGATAACAGTCAATTAACACATATTTTGTAAGTTATATGTATCATATACTGTGTTCTCCCAATACAGCAGGCTAGAGAAAATAAAATGTTATTAAGGAAGTCATGGGGCGCCTGGGTGACTCAGTCAGTTAAGCTGCTGCCTTCGGCTCGGGTCATGATCCCAGGGTCCTGGGATCGAGTCCCGCATCGGGCTCCCTGCTCAGCGGGGAGCCTGCTTCTCCTTCTCCCTCTACTTGCCGCTCTGCCAACTTGTACTCTCTTTCTGTCAAATAAATAAATAAAATCTTTAAAAAAAAAAAAAGGTCATAAGAGGGGGACCTGGGTAGCTCAGTTGGTTAAGCATATGACTCTAGGTTTTGGCTCAGGCCATAATCTCAAGATCCTGGGATCGAGCCCTGTGTCAGCCTCCACAGTCAGTGCAGAGTCTGCTTGTCCCTCTTCCTCCTCTTCTGCTCCTCCACCCACTCGTACTCTCAAATAAATAAATAAAATCTTTAAAAAAAGTCGTAAGAGAAAATACATTTACAGTACTGTACTGTACTTATTGAAAAATACCTACATATAGTAGACCCATGAAGTTCAAACCTATGTTGTTCAAAGGGCAACCATACTTTGTGTAAGTGTTCTATCAGTATAAAAAGATATCAAATAAAGAGCAGAAAATCTTCCCATGTTACCAGAGATTCTTCAGACCCATCAACAGCTGTAGACAACAGCACAATTATCTAGTAAAGCAAAACCACAACCTAACTTAGATGAAGTTTTCATTAAATTTACTAAATGTAATTAAATTAAATTTAGCATTGCACACGGTAGACTGAATACTTATAATCCTCAAAATTCCATCTCTGACCACCTTCTTCTTCTATATATTCTCTCTGGGAAATCTCACCTACTCCGAAGGCTTCTACCATTTATCCAAATATTGATAATCGCAAATCTTTAATTTACATAATGCATGAGACTTTTCCAAGATCAAGAATGGAAGAGCCCACATAAATTTAAATGTAACAAAAATCACACAATTGGGGCACCTGGGTGGATCAGTTGGTTAAGCGACTGCCTTCGCTCAGGTCGTGACCCTGGAGTCCCGGGATCGAGTCCCACATTGAGCTTCCTGCTCAGCAGGGAGTCTGCTTCTCCCTCTGACCCTCTTCCCTCTCATGCTCTCTATCTCTCATTCTCTCTCTCTCAAATAAAGAAATAAAATCTTAAAAAAAAAATCACACGATTAGTTCAATAAATACAGAAAAAACATTTGACAACATCCAACACCTTTCATGATAAAAATACTCAATGTCCTAACATGATAAAGGGACTTATGGAAAATCCACAGCTAACATCACACTTAATGGTGAAAGACTGGATGGGGTTCCTCCTAAGATCAGGAACAAAACATAACTGCTCACTCTTACTGCTTCCATTCAACACTGTACTAGAGATTCTAATTAGGCAAGAAAAAGAAATAAAAGGCAGCCAGACCAAAAAGAAAAAAGTAAAACTACATTTATAGATAACATAATTTGGGATATATAAAATCTTAAGGAATCCACTAAAAAATTATTAAAACTGCTAAAAGGCAATTCAGCAAGATTGCAAGATGCAAGATCAATATACAAAACTCAATCATATTTCTATACACCAGCAATGAACAATAAAATGAAATTAAAGAAAACCATTCCAGGGGCGCCTGGGTGGCTCAGTTAGTTGAGCATCTCACTCTTGATTTTGGCTCAAGTCATGGTCTCGGGGTCATGAGATCAAGCCCTGCATCAGGTTCCACAGTCAGCACAGAGTCTGCTTAAGATTCTCTCTTTCCCCCTGCCCCTTCCCCCATTCACATGCTCTCTCTCTCCCTGAAATAAAACCTTAAAAAAAACACAATTCCATTTATCACAGCATTAACAAATAATAAAATTCTTACAATTAAACAAAATAGTGCAAAACTTGTATCCACACTAAAAACTACACACACTGTTAGAAGAAAGAAGAACATCTAAATAAATAGAAGGACATCCACATTCATGGATCAGAAGACTTAACGCTGTTAGATGTCAATATATTCCCCAAATCAGGGGCACGTGGGTGTCTCAGTCATTAAGCATCTACCTTCGGCTCAGGTCATGATCCCAGAGTCCTGGGATCGAACCCTGCATCGGGCTCCCTGCTGCGCGGGAAGCCTGCTTCTCCCTCTCCCACTCCCCCTGCTTATGTTCCCTCTCTTGCTGTCTCTCTCTTTCAAATAAATAAAATCTTTAAAAATATATATATATTATATATTATATATATATATTGTATATTATATATATATATTCCCCAAATTGAGCTAAAGATTCAAAATTCTCACCTAAGGGACTCCTGGGTGGCTCAGTCAGTTAAGCATCTGCCTTCAGCTCAGGTCATGATCCCAGGGTCCTGGGATCTAGTCCTGCATCGGGCTCCCTGCTAAGCAGGGAGCCCGCTTCTCCCCCTGCCTCTCCTCCGTTCATGCTCACACTCTCTCTCTCTGACAAATAAAATCTTTAAAAACAAAAACAAAAAACCCACAAAATTCTCAACTAAATCTTTTTGCGGAAATTGACAAGGTGATCCTAAAATTCATACAGAAATGCAAACAACCGCAAAAAAGCCAAAACAATCATTATAAAAAAAAAAAGTTGAAGGACTCACATTTGTCATTTTAAAACTTACAAAGCTGCAGTAATCAAAACAGTATGGTACTGGCCCAAGAACAGTTACAAAGATCAATGGAATAGAACTGAGGGT